TTATCTTGTATGTCCACTCTTCTCCCTTCCCAATGCTACCTGCAGGCCATAGAAAGACTAACTACCCCCGCCCGCAAAGATCAGTCCTACACCTCCACTATCCCTCCTCTTATCGCGACGTCTCAACAGCTTCCGCCATAAGAGTCTACGCAACATATTTCTTCGTACTAATCTTTCCCATCTTCATCGATGCCTTCTACGCCAACGACATTGACTGGTTTACCCACATCATGTTCGCCTGGGCATGGCATTGCGCACACATCCTCTGCATTAATTGGATTGTCGTTGGTTTGGGCATCGCTTCGTTCTTCTGGCAGGCGAGAGCCGTCCAAGCAGAAAAAGAAGACGAAGAGGACCAGGATCGGGAGGATAATGGACAGGAGGATCGGAAGGAGGCGCTGAGTAGAGTCGGGCTTGCGATGCAGGCGGTGTTATTTGGCGTTATGGGTATAGTATGGGGGTCAAGCGTCGAGGTGCCTTCGCGGTGGGAGTGGTACGATGGGTTTTTCGGGTGGTGGGGTGGGTGGTATAATTATTCGGGCTGGCTTGCTGTTGGTTATGTGGTGTTTGCGGGCGTACAGGCCGGGTTGCTTTGGGAGGTGATGCGGAATTGCAAGGCAGAAGATGGGGGTGATGATGGTGAGACGGAGCCGTTGCTGCACGCATGAAGGCATGTAAGTAGCTCGTACTAGGGGAGAGTGAACAGATGTGCTGCAGTCTATATTGGTCTGAGACAGATGTGCATGAATCGGAGCAATGTAGACCTCTAAGGCGCAACGTTTTGTTTATTTGATTCGAGAGGGCGTAAAAGATGCGTGTTGAGTTTGAGATAATATGAATTTTCAGATGATGGCTTCCTGATTCGAGTGCCCTTTGCCATCTTGCCTTCATGCGAAAGCTTGTTCGCTGCCATCAAGTTTTGTCTTTCCGATCATCAAAAGCCTGCTGTCGTACCCAGTGAGTCCATTATGAACCGCTTGGGCTTTTACCGAGTAGCGCCATCTCTGCCTCACTCCCCTCACTCAACACCCTCGTCATCGTCCGCCATTTTGCTCTCTCGCATCAACTCCTCCTCCTGCTCTGCCATCTTAGCTTCAATTCCCACCCTCTCCTCCTCCGTAACCATCGGCGTGGCAACACGCTCCCTCCGCGCAATAACATTCCCACACCACTTAATAGCCTCATTCCAAGCACCCTGCATCTCCCCATCATCAATCACCACCCCGCGCCCCTTCTCTTCTCCCTTCCCATCCACATCCTTGATCAGTTCCGGCAAACCCTCAACCACCAAGTCTCTGAAGAACCACCAGCTAGGCAGGAAGTTCAACTTAGCCAGCGCTGCTAATTTGAGCGGCGAGAACATGGCGCTGTACTGGCAGGCGCGTTGGAGCATGACGACGTGTTTGAACGCGATTTGCCACATCGTGTGTGCTATGTTGTCGATGTGAGTGGATGTTATGGGCATTGAGGGGACGAAGGGGAGCAGCGTGGGCTGGGTTTGGAGGACGTGGCGGAGGAGGTTCTTCATCAGCTGAGAGGACTGAGCTGATTGGGCGGTGGAAGACAGTGGCGCGGATGGCTGTTGCTTGTTGAGTGTAGTGGAAGTGAACTTTCCCGGCGATGTGACTGCGGCGTAATGGGAGATCTGGGATAGTGTTAGCATGTAGTCACCTAGGTATTCCGTGTCATGTACTTCGTTCTTCACCTCCTCGATCTTCTGCTTCTTCGGCAGGGACTCGTCTCTGGTCTCTGCCTGAGTAGTACGCTTGTCCGCTCCTAAGGACTTGATCTGGACATCAGCCATCTTCGGTGAAATTCCCTACATTATTGTCAGTCTCGCTCCTGAGAACATCCCTGGCGGCACGCCAACCTAGGGAAAAACTGAACAGCCTGGAGCCTACGTTGACGTTGGGTCCCCTACTTGGCAAGGTTTTAGGTCAACGTAGTCTGCAGACCTGTTCAGTTTTTTTCTTGAATGAGGTGGCGGTTCATCTCACCTCGGCCTTGATCTTCCTCTTATTGTCCACCATAACCGTCGGCTTCGCAGCAGAGATTTTACGCTGCTGCTGAACAACGACCTTGGGCGAGCTTTGCGCATTCGAGTCTTTGCGCTGCTGCTGAAGTTTTGGAACGGCTTGGGAAACGGATGTTTTGCGCTGCTGCTGGGACTTTGCGGGGACTTTGGGGCCTGGTGTGGGAGTGATGGGGCTCTGTCATCGTTAGTATCCTGCTTGTGGTTGTTCATGCTATGAAAGCTCAACTCACTTTCCTCGCTGTAGGGGCCTTTGGGTTGATAGCCATAGTGAGACCCGGCATCTTTTCGGCACGATGGTGCTGTAGTTAAAGAGAATGGTGGGAAACTTGGTAAGACGCGTAGAGGGCGTGAAAGGTTGGCGTGATGAGCCTGTTGTTTGCGAGAGACAGTTTGAACAAGAAAGGCGAGGTGAAATAGTCTGATGTCAAGCGTGGAAACGCGTGGTGAATGTGAGGGTGAGTGTTGACTAGTGAGACAACCCCACATCAGGTGCCCACAAAGGGAGAAGACGTGAAGCCGCCTTGACGTCTCAATAGCCTCAAAGGCAATATAAGCTGTTTGCTTGAGGTCGTTTCCAGCAACTCAAGGTAACCATTACATGTCGAGGTGAGGGAGCGAACGCTATGATGTCTTGATGATAAGAACGAGGAAGGAGAGGCAAACGTAGACCTGAGAAGACGGCATCAGCTTGCGATTGCACTGGATCACGGCATTCTGCTGTCGCGTAGTTCAGATGATGAAGAGAGTATGAAGACATGGAATGGTCTGAAAGAGCCTTTCGATATGATTAGCGAGGGTCAAGAAGTACACCAAACGATGCCCCGATGAAGCAGACTTTATTCAAAGCTCCCGACTCTGTGCTATGCAAACTCCCATGGTATATTACCCAAAACGCCACTCTCTTGTGGTGGTACGCAGGAGCTTCCCATGCCAACTCAAGGACTCCATCCGCAATGCTAAGCCCGCCCACGTGCCCGGGTCGCGCGTGCTTTAGGCTTCGCTTTCGACTTCTTTGGCGCAGGTGCCTCCTCTTCCTCCTCCTCAGAGTCACCAATGTCCTCCTCTCCGTCGAGATCCATCTCCTCATCTTCACTCTCATCCTTAGCCTTCTTTTTTGAACTACTACTCTTCTTCTGCTTCTTGCGATTAGCTTCAAAAGCCTCTTCCGATGGCTCCTCCATGGGTGTCGAGCGCTTTGAGCCTCGTGACTTGGGCGCGTACTTCGCTTCCAGCGAATCAAAGAAGTTGCCTGCTCGTGACTTCTGGCGCTGCTGGATCAGAGCCGCTAGACCTGCCATGTCGTCTTCGCCGCTCTTCTTGCCTTTCGGTTTCGCCTTGGCTTTGGCCTTGCCATTTGTGGCCCCCGATTCTTCTTTCTGGGCCTGCTTCTTGTCGAAGTCTTCACGCCTCTTCTTTTCAGCGTCCTTGGCTTTTTGACGCGTCTCGTCTGTCTCGGCTTCGTACACGGGGTATGAGCTGACTGTGCCGTTCTCGATCTCCTCGTCTAGGATCTTCCTGAACCGATCGTCGTCCTCGAGGATGTCTGATAGCATGACCAGGTCGTACACCTTGTTCAGGTTCCCCTTGACCTTCTTGAACGCTTTCACCAGATCGCGACGCTCCTCCTCGCTGCCCTTGTATTCATTCGCGACGTTGTTGATAGCCTCCTCATTGACGACATTCTCGAACTGCTCGCGATAAAACTTCAGCCAGTTGAAGTCATCGTCGTCCTCCATTGTCTCGGCTGTGCTGCCAGTAAGGTCGTAGCGCCTGCGTCGGCGATCGTCGGAGAGTACGGCGTATGCGAATGCGATCTCTTGGAAGGCCTTGTTGGCGGCTTCCTTCTCGTCGGGTGCAGCCTTGTCTGGTCATAGTTCAGCAATGCATTCCACAATGTGTAGTAAGGGCACTGACCTGGATGGCATTTGAGCGCCATCTTGCGATATGCCTTCTTCACATCGTCGGCAGTGGCTTCTGTCTCGAGTCCAAGAACCTCATACGGGTTGATGCTGGGCGGACCATCTTCTTCGTCCATGTCGTTCTCGCCTTCGCTCTCATTGTTGTTTACAAAGTCATCCTCCGCAGATTCCTCGGGAGACGGTTCTTTTCTCTGTCTTCGTGCCATCTTGTAGTGTTGTGTTATGGATATGGAGGTTGTGTGACTACTGACGGTCGACGCCTGCGTGAGAACGCGACGCGACCGTGAGCCCGGACTTAACGGAGCTAGCGCGCCTGACCCACTTTTCCCCAATCACCGCCGCCCAGAACGCCAATTACATCACCTTCACTTTCCTTCCTCACCAACATGCAAGTCGACTACGACACAGGCCCTGTGCGAACATGGGACGGCCCGGTACCCCCAGCAAAAGGCCCAGACCCCAACGACCACCTCCAATACATGCGCCTGGCCCTTGACCAAGCCCAAGAATCACCACCGAAACCTTCAAATTTCCGTGTTGGCGCCCTCTTAGTCGACGCAGATACCGGGAACATCCTTTCGCGCGGCTACACTCTAGAATGCGAAGGAAACACGCATGCGGAGCAATGTTGTCTTTTGAAGCTTGCTCAAGCACACGGCTTGCCTGAGGAAAGAGTTGGGGAAGCATTACCATCAAACACCGTCATCTACACGACCATGGAACCTTGTAATCTTCGGCTTAGTGGTAACCTTCCATGCGCGGATCGGCTCATTCGAACGAGAGGGAAAGATGGAGAGCAGAAGATCAAGAAGGTGTATCTTGGCGTCAAAGAGCCGGAGAAATTTGTAGGCGAGAATGCGGGACGGAAGAAGCTAGAGGAGCATGGGATTGAATGTGTTCATGTTCCAGGGCTGGAAGAGAGAATATTGAGTGTTGCTACTGCGGGCCATGAACAATAACTATCTGATCTGGAAATGATATGGAAGACGTATAGAATCCAACGCACAAAAAGGAGCGCTCAGGGCGTAATCTACACTCCATTGACTTTAGCTACTGTTCTGCCTCTCCATATCCGTATAGATGTACCGCTCTTCTGACCTCAAAACCTCCAGCTCTACATCCTCCGCCTGCGAGCACTTCCACCGATCCTTTGCCTTCCGTCTGCCGCTAATCCTCATCTTCAGCCCCAGTTCGTACTTGAATCGCTTCCATCTGGTCTTGCGAATCTCCGATGATTTGACCCCACTCCCTGGCTGAGCTTCTGTCTTCTTAGAAGATTCCGGTTGCGGAGCGCTTACAGATGCCTCCTGTGCTGCCTCCATAGTCTGCTGATCGGCTGCATCGTATTCGATAGCCATAGGACTGACAGCCAGTAGCGCAATAAAGAGGGACGCGAATCTGCTTTCTCGCTTTGTAGCCGGCTCTGATCTTGGAGGTTTCGCAGTCGTTTCGTTATTTGAGGTCATTGGCACGTCTTCAAACGGCGCACTCTGCCCCGATGTCTCATCACTCCAGGTTTGCGTCCTCAAGGTAACAGGTGGCTCCAATGCGCTGGTCCTGCCATTCAACAGCCCCATTTGTCCAGACACGAGTCGATTCTGGAGACTTGCCGCCGTCGAAGGCCCGCCGGTAACTTCAGGTACTCGTCTGAGGAGCAAAGTCATCTTTCGCTCTGTCGCATGGGAGTAGAACGCAGGACCAAAGGGGTAGCTGAATGAGAAACGATAGAAGAATAGCTTTGGTGATAGGGTGTATTACCAACAGAGACGCAAGACAAGGGGATAACAAGTGTACGCTGGCGGACAGGTTTCACGCCTCAGCAGGCTGTACCATTCTCACCGACTTTGCGCACCTGGTTAGTCGCCCATCTCATAAGTCTTTCTAGAAGGAGACTACCTTTCGTGAAGTGTTCCACCAGCTTTCGGGCCAAATGTTATTGGGACGAAAGGTTCCCATCTCTTGGAAGGTGCAGCTGAGGATCCCTGTCAACAATGACCCGACGACGTATTCATACCGGTGGCAAGCACAGCGCAGCTTTAGTAAACAGACGGGCGAAGTTGAGGCCCATCTAGATATCGCATGAGGTCCTCATCTATGAGAAACCCTTGATGTGATGGGCTAGGCGACGTTGGCTGTTCTCGACGCCTTGAAGACCCCAAAGTCGGTTCGGGATTGAGAGCAGCAGGAAGGATCCCAGCTTCCGCTGCGTTGTACCGTTTGATACCTGATATGTATGTGTGCTGGCTTTGTTGATGGCACACTTGGAGGGGGCATGGTCGATTTCGAGGTTGTTGGGAAGCTCAGACGGCGCGTGGTAATTGTCCAGGCACCCGCAATCGACGGCTTTCGAAAGTTACCCGATTCGGATTGCGCTAAAGAGCCCGCAACACCAACCATCTCCTCTGCTGAAATGGTTCTTGACTATCAAGCAGAATATAAATCTAGTTCAACATCTACGTCTACGTTCACAACCGGCTCTCGGGACAACCTAGCCCTACCCCGCTACCTAGGCAAGGGCTCGCGTACCTCGACCCCCGACGCGCGAAGGGATCGCCCGCGAATCTCACCTAGGACCACCATTGCGTCATGACTTATTCGCATCGACCAAAATGCCATCCCCTCCATCGATTACCACGCGAATTGCGTAACCCTGACCGTTTTGTACCACCTTTCTCATGATGACGCGTGCCAAAAACATGCAATTGGATAAAGCCTAGAATAACAAAACGCCTCGTGGGCAGTACATAGCCACCGAATACATTACCTATAATAACCCGTCCATCCAATACACTCTCACAAAACTTCTTACAATGACATCTTACCTCCGCCCATTCGCAACACAAACTTACAACCAAACACTCCGTGCCTTCACCAAACCAGCCTTTTCGTCCCAGGTATCAAGAATCACAACCGCCAAAATGTCAACAAACCCCTCAAACCTCAAGATCGAGACCAAAAACGTCCAAACCGCCCCCGGCGTCACCCTCTCAGAGCAACAAAACACCATCGTAGGCTCCGTCCTCGACCTCTTCGCCGGCCGCCCCTCGCTTCCCAAACTGCAACTCTGGCGCGACGACGCCACCTTCACGGACCCCATCACCATCGCTGAAGGCCGCGAGAAGTACTCTGCGCAATGGTACGGACTGCAGAGTGCTTTTAGCGAGATTGAGAGACTCAACCACCAGGTTAAGGATGCGGGGAACCCGATTTTGATGGACCTGAGGACAAGATATGTGATCAAGGGGTTGAACAAGGAGCAGTTGATTCAGAGTGTTGTTGCTATTCATTTGGATGAGCAGGGCAAGATTAAGAAGGTCGAGGATAAGTGGGATGGCAAGTTGCCGGATAGCAGTATTGCGAACGTAAGTTACACACATGTTTTGTTCAATCTTAGTAGCATGCTAATGATCTGTACAGGCTTTCCGACACTTGAACGCTGTCACCGTACCCAAGTTCGTCGGTGTACCAAAGAACGACGAGGAGGATGCGAAGAGGGGAAACCAGTAGTTTTATCGTTATGTATCGAGTGATCTAGCGCCGCGTACAATATCGTACTGCGTAAACTCGTAATTCGTAAAGTCATTACAACATGTATTGTGTCTCATAACGCGCCGTTGAACATCCTTCCGAGCGCTATGTGCAGGAAGAGCGCAACTGCGCCGGCGCCTACACCTAGCACTTTCAGACTCGGTGCTCCTGCAACAATCAATATTGTGCCGCAACCTCCTTGCTCCGCTCTTGGCAGATCGGGCCCATCCATCGTGATTGTAGCGCAGAAGCCGCCTTGTACCTGGTCCGGGTTGTGGTATACGGTCGTTTGAGGAGGTGGTTGAGCGTACACGACAGCCGTTTGCTGCTGGGGGTATACCGTTACGGTCGTGACTTGTGCGACGTTTACTGCGCCTCCGCATTGGTTTCCGCTTGGGCAGCAGCCGATCAGTCCATTCGAGTTGCCAGGAACGGCGCATGTGTAGCCTGATGGACAGCACCTGGGTTTGATCAGCAAGAGTCACGCCATCTCTCAGGATTCCTACTCACCAACTCGGTTGGTTGACATTGCTGCAGCTTACTGAAGCTGACGAAGGACACCAATTTGCGTCTTGCGCTACGACTTGCTGTCCGTCTGGGTTTACAATGTACACAGCGCCAGAGAACGGCGCATTGTTCGAGATCTGCTGTGGTATAGCCTCAGGCTTTGCGATCGGTTCCGCGACACATAATGTCAATGTCGCAGCGACGAGGCTCCATGGCGCAAATGATCTCATCGCGTTGAAAGTCGCCGAGACTGTCAGAGAAAGAAGCCGGATACAACGAAGGTGTGCGACAACGAACGTTTAGAAAGCGAAGAAAAAGCTGCGGGGTTAGTATGCGACGAAAAGGCACAGCCTCGAAAAGATGAGAGATCAAAATCAGCAGTCGTCGGGCGCATACCGGGCTGCTACCCTGCCCTTAAGTCTGACCGGAATACCTTGGAAGCTCTCAATCGAGAGCTGGGAATAGCTCCAAGCTTGCTGCAGGTTGGGCTAGCTCGTCATGGACAGCTTCATGCCGGCTTAGCGGGGAGTCGCACTATTGGTAGCCTCGACGGCACCGAGGTCTAGTTCGCGGTAGAGTGGTCCCACTTGGCTGCTTTTTGCGATAGACCATTGTCGGGCATGATGGCAAAACGGCGGTGTTGAGGTGTGATGGGGCTACAGGTGGCCGGGTGGACCTGGTAGCATGCTTGCTGCCCATCCTCTATACGATGCATTTGCTGGCAGCGGGGCGAAGGGTTAGAGATACAGTTTGCTAGAGTGAAGGCCTTGATTGTTCCCTGCAATGCGATCAAGCCACAGTTCTTGGGAGCGGCTGCATCGGATGGCATCGCGTGGTGAGGTGCATGCAGATAGTGAACGCAAAGCGCCGATCTTCCGATGCGAGAGGATTGGGTTAGTCAGCTTGGCATCAAAGGCCACGTGACAGCGTAGAGCAGTGGCGATGGGACGCGTCGCGTTCTTTGTTCTCATCCCACCTTGTGCATCAGCAACACAATATGACATGTCAACGGATCCGCCACCGCGTCCTTATCGGCTATATCCCGCCTATTGTTTCAGAGCATCACCTACATACAATATATGGGTGAAGCTCACTGCGGCAGATGTGCAAGCTCTTCGGTCTGAGAAAGACTTCCAAGGTAGCAGCCATCTTAACGAGTGCTACGACTATTGCTGACACATGAACAGCCCAGCGCATTTATTTTCATCTTAATCACCCTATCCGCTATGTCCGCATTGTCGGCGTCGTTGTAGCTATCGACGACATCAACCTCAAGTACACGGCTCTCACCATCGACGACGGAAGCGGCGCGACTATCGAACTCAAGATCGTACGATTACCTCCCGCTGAGAAGAACCCCGTCGATACATCCTCAGACACGAAGATCAAGAACTTGAATATCGTCAGTCAATTCGGCATCTTCGACGTCGTCGTGGACGGCGAAACCCTAGACATCGGCACAGTCGTCAAGGCCAAATGCCTCATATCCGAATTCAGGGGCGCAAAGCAACTGGACCTGCAGCGCATTTCTGTTGTCAAAACGACCAACGAAGAAGCACAGGCTTGGGCTGAGACCGCTGCGTTCAAGCAGGCAGTCTTGTCGCGACCATGGCGTATAACGTCAGCCGAGCACAAGAAGATCAAGCATGCGATCAAAGCGGAAAAGAAGAAAGAACAGGATAATGAGCGACTGCAGGCGGAATACAAAGTCAAGAAAGAGGAGCGACGGCTGGCGAAGGAGGCATACCTTGCGCAGAGGGAAAAGAAGCTTGAGGCTCGACGGCGGAAGGAAGAGGTTATGCTGAATAGCGGTGCGTTGATATGAAATCAAGGCCCCGAGGCCCGGCCAGCAGGTTGACGTAGCTGAGTGGATGCGGGGTTTGTGCGGCGCAGCACGTCGCCTGCATCATCATGGTGTCTCTGCCTAATCCCACCTCACAAGCTTTCGTCCAGACTTTCACCAGCTACGGACAATCTCAATCCGATCGATATCGCATTTCGAAATAGCTATCCCACAAAGTCATGGAAGATGCCACTGTTTCCCCGACTCCTCCGGACAAGCACTCAGATGAAGCGCTCGATGCTGGGAGCCCCTCCACGACCCTCGACACGCTTCAGTACGACCGCATAACACAAGATCGCCACATTCGAGTCCTCGACTTGGCTCCTGGCAGCTGGGACGAGCCTGTCAATTGCTTCTTAAGGACGGTTGATCTAGATGACGACGAACTCCACTACGAAGCAATTTCCTATGCCTGGGGCGACCCTACCGATCGCAAGACCGTGACATGTAATGGATGCGCCGTTAGCACAACACGCAACCTTTTCGAAGCCTTGCAGCGCTTTCGATATGCCGATAATACGCGAACGCTCTGGGCCGATGCGCTCTGCATAAACCAGGTCGACCACGACGAGAAAACCTACCAGGTCCGGCTGATGAGCTTCATCTACAGAAGAGCTGTTCGCGTGCTTGTATGGTTGCAACATGAAGACAATCAAGTAGTTCAAAATTCCCTAAACGTTATGTGCCAGTTTGCGTGCAAAGAAGATCCCAATGGCAAATGGGGAGACTTAGAAGATCGTGCATACTACCAGAGTTCGGAGCTCTACCAATGGCGTGGTGTCGCAGTGACCAGCGTCAGCGGAGATGAGCCAACGGAGATCGCTGATGCTGCGACGGACGCTTTGCGGCATATGTGCTCCTCACCCTGGTTTAGTCGAGGATGGGTGGTTCAGGAGGTGGCATTAGGCACCTCGGTGTCGGTATTCTGGGGGCACGCTGAAATCGACTTACGGCGGCTGAACGTTGTGTCTAGCGTTTGCATGAGCCTCCGTTTCCACAGGTTAACACGTGCGACGCTGAGTTTTCGACACCTCTTTGACCTGCGCATGTCACATCGTATCGGTTATTATCGGCAATCTTGGTTCACCCTGAGCTACATGACCAGGTTCTTTACTTTTAGTGAGCCAAAAGATAGAATCTATGGTCTACTCGGACTAGAGACAGTCGAATGTGACTCTACAAAGGGTCAACTACTCGTTGATCCCGATTACAACATCGATATTCTGGAATGCTATCGCAGAGTGGCAGTTAAGCTACTTTGCGAGTGGCACGATCTCAGAGTGCTTTCCTGGGCCGGACATAGACCTGGACCAACCCAAGATTGGCCATCGTGGGTGCCAGACTGGAAGCCGTCAGGAAACCACATGTTTCAAGATCTCGGAGGCTTTGCCCGAATTAAGGAAAAATCGAACCTCACTGATATATCGGACACCATGAGGAGTGGGAATCACTGTATCAATATCGCAGGTCTCAGAGTCGATACTGTACTCCGGGTGGTCGACGAACATGCGGACATGACATACATTAAGGATGACTCTTGCGGACCTGTACGCCTACAAGCCTTGCTAGGCTCCTTGGCTCATGTATACAGAGAGCCATGCCTTGCCTGTACATTTGGAAATCAGTCTAAATATCTACCGCTGCCCTCTTATCGCATGGAAAACCTTCTGGACAATTACCACGCGTTTATGAACAGAGATTTTACGCAAGACATGTACCGGCATGTACCAGTAGAATCGAATCAGGATGATCAACGCTCTTCATTCACACCAAATGCCGATAAGTTTTCCGAAACATGCCGGCGTGATAATGATGGTCACACCCTTTTCATTACCAGCACAGAAATGCTAGGTCAAGGGCCCGATAATATACTCCCAGGCGATGTTGTTGTCGTACTACACGGCTCTGCTGTACCTTTCGTCCTCAGACCTGCGAGCGATGGCCTCTGGAGACTTGTGGGAGAATGCTATGTTTACGACGTCAACGAGGGCCGCATTCTTAGGGAATGGGAAGAGAAAGGTAGCATATCGGAGAAGTTCTGCATTTACTAGACCGCCGGTACCAGAAAAAACTACTACTGCGCCTGCCAAACGCTCAATCGACCTCATTCTCTGAGTATGCAGACTATGCTCTTTCCATAAAGTGGGTATTTGGCAGCGATACTCTGGGCGTGGTGTTCGCTACCACAAAATCGCCCACATGGAGCAATCGCAGGCGTTTTCAATTGCATCGACAACATCCAACGCGGCTCGTTACGTTCAGTACGAGGGCTCAAAACATCATCGCACGATTAGAGAATGAGACGGTCACCGAACGCGTTGATTGAGCTGTGGCGTAGGAGGCTCTGAACGATGCGACGGGAGTGAGTTGCTACATGGCTTACCACAAGGACTATCGAGGCCTACGTGATGAAGAGGGGAGTGCTGCGCCCACTTTCAATCACAATCAAGTCTCGACGGCGAGCAACACAACGACTCGAAACTTCTATCGCAGCGCGATGTCATTTCAGGAAATATCACGTTCCGCAATCTAGTGCCCCGAAAGACGCACCTCATCTGCTACACGATCAATGTAGTGCGGTGCTTGTCCGCATGTGGAGAGACGTTAGGCTCCTCGTTACCTTCATTGTTACCACGGAGGTCAGTGCGGTCTTTCGTATATACGCCGTCTCGTAATTAATGCCTGGCGCCTATTTTTTCCCTTGTCAAATAGTCAACTCCTCGATCGTACTTTCTTGTCCCCCCTCTTCTGGTATACGAGTACTTGAGAAGTCCATGTTTAGCGCGCAACCGCTTACAGGACAGACGAGTCCGCCGCACACTACCTTCTCCAGTACATCACGATTCGCTTCTCCGACAAAATGTACGGCTGCGATGAATACTTCGACGAACACTTCGACGACAAACTCATTGGTCGCATCTACCGACTCCGCGATGACCCGAGTCGCATGTTCTCCGTCTGCCTATCGCCCCCTCCGTCATCGAAGTTGTATCTTACCTCAGATCAGTACAAGTGGAAGATGAGAGTACTGCCACCGCAGAAGAACGATCAGATGCTGCAAGTCATCAAGAAGACGATCACCGAGCTGAACAAGCAATATATGCTCTTTTGGCGCATTGGTCTGGAAGTGTCACACTTGACGATGAGTCCTCCCCTATGGCCCCGCCATCTAGAGGAGTACTCGATCAAGCTGTACGCTTTCAAGGAAAAGGGTCGAGAGTTTCCGATGGCTGTTGAGGCAACACTGTCTAGAGGCTGTCGCCGTTTGACCGCGGACACCATTCTGGTACGAAAGAAAGACGACATGAACGGACCTAAACCCGGCATGCCGCTGAAGACGTGGCTTCTGTCCCTGGTCAATTCTCGGAATAGCTTGGGTGAAGCTGGTTGGCAGCTTCAGCGCGGGTGGTGGGCTTCGAACGGTCAGAACTTCCCCATCATGACTTTGCCTGCCGAAATACGTTGCGAAATTCTCCGGCAAGTCTTGAGTGGCAATATCTATCCCGTCGCCAGAGAAAATCCGAATGTGTCAGGACCTGTAGTGTTTCTGGGAGCCAAGAACGGGAACATGCCTGTATATCATTGGCCTGAAGTCCCACCGGCTTCCCGGCCAGATCCACCCAACTATGCCATCCTTCGAGCCAGCAAACAGATCTACGATGAGGCCCTGAAAGCGGCGTGGGAGGGTACAACAAAGCACTTCGCGGATGGATTATGGCTGGAGAAGGTGCTAGAAGCACCAATTGCCCCATCTAACTATCGCTGGCTCACTCATATCCAACTCTCCATGAGTACAAAAGAATGCTTCCGATTTTTCGGGATTGACATTCACCCCGTCCTTCGATTGCCGCCGCTTGTACCAAAAGCTCGTTTGCTGCAAGGAATCGCTACCCTTAAGCACCTCGAAATCGTATTTGGATCACCATACGTCCCGTATTCAAACCCTTGGTATTCTTTTCCCAATCGCCCGCCACTTATACTGAAGTTTCCGTGTCATAAGATCATGGTCGAGTGGGCGCTGATCTTCGCCTTTCCATACCTCAAGCACATCCCGAATGTTCAGCTCGCAGGCTGTATCAAGACCTGCACAAAATCGAAATGGGAACACATCCTAAGCAATGAGTACTACTTGCGGAAAGAGAGCTTCAAGACTCACGGATACGACCCTGCTATGGAGGCTTATGAGCTGTTAGAAGAACAGCGCCCTGTGCATCGGCAAGTGTGAATTCCTCCGGTTTCTGACGCTCCTTGGACTGACCAACCGTGACAGGCCACCGATATGCTCGTGCCCTGCTTCGTGCTCACTGGGATGTCGTCCGAAAGGTCTGAAAGGCTTTGATCATGACGACTCATATGTACCGCCTGAACCATGGAGACCGCCGCCGCCACCGCCACCGCCGAAGAAGAGTGCGCCAGTTCGGCCAGGACAGCTCTGGTCAAAGGTGCACACAGTATGTCTACGAGCTCTTCCATGAGAAAAAGCTTCGCTGATATCGTTGTAGACTGAAGAAGATATACGGGACGACTAATCTCGTATCTTACTGGCCTCTTGTATTAATAGAGCGGCAGGACAGCGCAACATGAGTTGGTTGGTTGTTCACGTTGCACTATATCCGATGCTTTCGAGCGATGCGTATTCCTCTCTGTATCTTATTGTTGGCCTGTGTTAGTTAGCGCAGGCTGAGAAGCGGACTGTGCGGGGAATGGGACGAAGGGTTACTCAGGTGGGCAAGACACGGTACTCGGTACATGGCCCATGGAAAGACGTACAGCTCGTGATTGTTCGATACGGAATTCTACCTCTCTGTTCAGTGTATCTTGTCACATGCTGAGATGTGTTCCGAAGAAGTGTTTGGAAGGTTCTGAGATCATTTCCTTTAGGTCGCTGGATCAGGCGGGTAGGTTCACGTGGAAAGTAGGGGAAGCTGCGAATGATTAACCCTAGCAAACCCCAGCATTCTTAATAGCTGCGCGCACGACCAAATCTAGCAGTAAGAAGTCGGTCTAACGAGAAATCATGAGCGACGCAGCGAAGATATTGACGACAAAACTAAGGAAAGAGTTAGGGAACCTGCCAATATGGAAGGTCGCAACAACGCAGGAATGCATGGACAAAGGCGAAACGACATGGTTGATCAAGAGAAAGTATTGCAGCCAGGTCGACGACTATAACCGGTTTCGTCCACTCGCCCGTTCGGTACATCAGCAATGCAGAAGAGAGATCGGCAAATTCCCGGATGTTACGGTAGACGTTATCAAACGGTGGATTGACGAGAATTACTGGGATGATGCTCAGGTGAAGGCTGAGTACCAACGGCAGTTTCACAAGGCGCATCCCGAGATACGTCGGGCGAAGAAGTTACTGGCTGAGTTGAGACGTGATCTAGGAGATTGCCACCTGGTCGACGAACAAAACGTGCTCAAGTGGGTCAAGAAGAACTTAACGGACAAGCGCGTCGAAGACAAGTATAGAAGCGCTCTTGACAGGGCTGGTCCTCTCAACCGTGCGGAGGCCTTGCGGTATCGCTTAGAAGACGAGGGGTCGGACGAGCTGGTCGTATCGAATGCTGTCATACTGGAGGAATGTCGTGACAATTCAAACGACACCGCCGTTGTGGACGCCATTTTGATGAAATTCGACGTTGGTCAGGGACAAGCTGCAGGGGAAGATGTAGGTGGTGTACAAGAGGAAGGTACTCAGGAGGGGTAAATCAGAGTAGTCGGAAGACATGAAAAAGCATCAGTAGCAGCTACGCAGCCTTTTAGCGGAGTGAATATTGCAAAATCATGGCTGTATTTGATCAAAACTCTTTAGCTATACCTTGATCGGACTAGCGCACAACGCCCATTACTGCGATGTGTACCCCATAGAAAATACAGTCTATCGCCTGCGTGACGGTATTATAACGTCGACCTTACATTGCAGAACAGCGCGCTGTTTTGTAAGGCAATGTACATGCTAACGAGCCCTCCTCCCCGCCAAATCTCGGCCTCAATACCACCCTGCGACTCGCTCTCGGTTCTCTATCTCAAAGTACCACACCGCAAATAGCGCGCCATGGCCGTCAATGGCAGAACTGCCGATGAACCTGCGGTCACGCGTGTTGCGCTAGGAGACTGGAGCAGGGACGAATGTCTATACATCCAACTGCATAGCGAACTGCTCCTTGCCGTCGCGCACCTACCTGCCGCACCCTTTCATTCGATCAACGACATTTCTCAGTATGTTGGATACTGTCAGTACTTCGCTCTTCCGGACGCCGCAACCAGTGACTCTCTAGAAGAGACAGGCAGCGGTGTGGTAAAAAGCATCAACACCTTCACTGCCAAGCGGGACGAGCTATCTGGATGGGTCATGTGGGCTCTTCAAGCGACGAAGATGAAAGCTACATTCGACAAGAAGTTCCACGACGTCAAAGTGTCACCGGCCATGCTTCGGGAGTACCGCGAAATACGCGAGCGAATGGGCTTCGATACATACCTATACAACCCAAAGTTGTACCCCGCGCTTTGGTCGTTCCTCGAAGACGCTGCTCGCAAGCAGTTTCCCGAGTTCAACGGAGATACTACACAACCCGAAATCACACGAAACGTCGACACCGATGGTAGCGCCCACCTCGTGACCAAATCTGGACCTGTCGACGACCCGGCGAACACATCAGACCAGGAACTGATGGGCGAGGACGACACATCTGCCGCGGACAACGACATGAACTCCGGAGCGACCGATGAGGAAGAACAAGCAGAGCCTGGAGGCTTCGCGCAGGGCCAGGTCCGCGCTAGATGTACAGGCACCAACAATGACGGAACAGCCTGTCAGCGAAGAAGTCTAGATATTGAAGAGAAGGATCGTGCGAGCTGGCGATGCCATCTCCATGATCCGGAGAAGAAGAAGATCACAGCCGCGGCTCGCGCGGCAAGGAACACAGCGAAGAAACTAGCTGCGGCTTCGGAGCCCAAGAAGCAGAAGGGTGGTAACAAGGAAGGGGAGGGAGAAGATGCGAAGGCATGCGGAAAACGCGCTCGGAAGGCCGCAGCAGTGGGTGAGGAAGGAGCAGGTCGGGCATCCAAGAAGCGCTCAAAGTAAGCGCCATCATATCGAGAATGTTGTATCCACGGATGTCGGCAGAGCAGGCCCCTAAGCCGCTTCAACCACATCGATAAAGAAAGTTTGGATTGAGGGCGAATATAAGTGAAGGACAAAACGGGCAGTTGAAATATCGGCGGCGCATCAAGCCTGACGTAAGGTACAATGGAGATGAGAATAGCGAGGCGCTCATAGTGCATCTGGAGTTTTGCAGAAGCCTTCCGGCTTCGTGGTGTTTACCGGCTTGCGGTTCCAGTAGCAGGCCCTGTGTGACAATCGGATGAGTGAATGAAATGTCTGCAATTCAGCCTTCCTGTAAAATCACCTGTGGCTTTACGGCAGTGTCGTCAGCCGTTGGAAGAGCGGTTTGTTAGGGCGGCGAGCGATGAATGATGAGATACGCGGGTGGTAGGCGTGGGCGAAGGCTGGAGAGGAAATGAGGACAAGTTTGCAGCACGCTATGACATCATCACTATTCTGTGTTTCCGACGCGTCCGCGACGCGACAGCAACTCCAATCCCACCCTCCGACAGCACCAGCGCAGCCCCAAGATGGCATTCCCGCCGCCTCTCCATTTTCTATTATTTGCCATCTCTGTCTCCTTAATCCTATCTTTAGTACCCCTTCAAGCTTTCCACTCCTCTCGAAAACATTCTCCTCTCACCGCTTCTTTCCAAGCCACGATACACAATGGTTGCGCATCGCTCCAGCCTTGCTTAGTCTTGTGTATGCGAACACCAATCGCGTGTCGATGATTATTCCGGTCACGACTCCCCGATAGGACGACCGTTTCAGGATCCTCGTAGTGATCATTCGCGAGCATCGAATCTTGATCCAAGCCATTACGACCTCTCTGCAGCAGTATCTCTGCAATGAACTTGTGGTACTTGGGGTCTTCGACATCTACCATGCGATCTATGAGTTTACGATCGATGTACCACGTCTTCTTGCGAACTACAGTGCCAGCCTGCAATGAAATGCTACCAATTCGTTGCCAGAACTTGTTCCTGCTACTTGGAAGAAGTGTCACGGGTTCCGTGTCCGTATTCCTCACCAGATCTATAACTCCGAGACAGCTGTACTTGATAGCCATTGCTATGCAGAAGTTCGCGAATTGTTGTCCGCCATCAGAAAGAATCCGTTCCAACTTCTCCAAAGCGTTGTCGCCTTTGAGTCCTCCACCACGGGACACAAAGGCTTGACTTTCTTTAACGGTGACTTCGATATTGACTTTGTTGATCGTTGCATTGCGGCCGGCGCGTCCATACCTGTACATGACTGCGCAAAGAGCATCATTCAATAGGCGACCAACTGTCCCAAACTCCCTGGAAGTCTGGACCCATCCCCAGGCCAACAAGTCGTTCAACTCAAATGAGATATTGAACTTGTCGAGGTTGTTGGCATCGGCAACGGGTGTGTCAATCCATCGCAGGCGAGGCTCCAGAAATAAACCACGTTCACGAGTTTCAGGTCTATGAATAATTATCCGGAGGGCATATCGTAACCCCAGTTGAAGCGAAGATGAGCGCTGAAGCACCTCGGTACGAAGTTGACGTGAGGCCTGACAGAGGCCAGCAGCGTGGTGCTTTATGGGCCGAGGAAAGACGGTGGGCGAAGATCGATGATATATATCGTAAACGTCGGATTCGGATACATCCGCCGGCTGCGGGTTGTGCGTAAGTAGCAGGAGATCGACGATCTCATCGCGAAGCTCTCGGGGCAGGGTGAGTAAGGAAGCCATGGCTGCACAGTCTGACCGAAGATGGGGCCAGCACTACATTTATAGAGAGTCGAAGATGCGGAATTTTGGAATTCAGGCTGCTTCATTGGAGTACCAAGAGTTGCAATGCTAACGATGACTCGTAGGTAGCAACCCCTAGCGAGCCACTCACAGCCATCGCATTTCAGACGCAACCAATATACGAAGAGCTCAAAGGGACATCCAGGGCTTTTTTTCGCAAGGGTCTGCTTCAGTGTGTGGCACTATGGGGCGAAGTTACCATGGTACCGCCAAAGTCTTCTCAAGCCTCCATCTTTTCCGACGTTTTCTCCCACGTACCCCCAAAAAATATCGGTTAAACGCAAATTTCATTACGGGCAACATAGTTGTACGACAACCTCTTATTCATGCCTTCACTTACCAGAGCCATGGCAGACCGCAGATGGAAGTGCGTCTCAGCCAGTCGCTACGCCGTGCAAGTCTCGCTTTGCATGTTTGCAGTCTATCTTTCCAGCCTCATCACGCAGACGTCTACTCCCACAGTCATGATATGGGGTAGCGCGCCATACATCGGCCTTGTTGTCGCTTTCGGAACACGATTTGGCCCGGCCGATACGACTGCGTCCCAGACATACTGCGTCATTACTACGGTTGTACTCATGTACCTCGACAGAGCCGCGACGGCTATTGGCAAGACTGCCGAACCAAACTTTGAGGAGACTGGACTTCAGCACCGCGCTGTACAGTTTGCGCTTGCCTTCTTTGCCCTTTCGGAGCTGGAATATCACCGACAATACTACGCTACGAAAGCTTTCCAGAAATCCGATAAATCTTCATGGCGTTCTTGGGTCGCTGACGCCGATCGCACATTTAATGTCTCGAGACATCAAAGCGTATATTGGCATTTGGGATCTGTCAACGAAGGAAACAACAAAGAGTCTGAAGAATCATTCGCATCAACGGTGTCCTACATCCTACGTGTGCTCCTCTTCGACAGCCTACCATTCCACTTAGTCGGCGGATGCTTTAATTACGCGATCAACAGCACGGTGAATCCGACCCCTGCGAATGGTCGCCTGGCCATGCAAATGATCGGAAACTTCAATGTCTTCTTCAATACAAAGACTATATGGGGCGTCTACTTGAACCTCTGGGTACTGTCCAGGGTCGTACGACAAGCCAACTTCATCGCTGTTTGGGGCATCTTCCGAGTGTCATCTGGCGCTCTGGATTGGTGGAAAAGCAAGCGAATAACTGCGTGTCACGAGCATTACGAGAAGTTGCAGGGTGATCAACAACTATGATCAATAGGCGGAGAGCATTTTGAACTAGTGTAGTAATAATGCTAATTCATTGGAGTCTAATTGCCACGTATTTTACGCCAACAACATCTTCATAACATCAGCAGGCGTCCTCTTCGGCGCTGCGATCTCCAGCACCTCCTTGCTTGTCGTTTCCGCCTTCGCCTCGCCATTCCACGCCGATTGCGGAGCACGCTTGATAGAACCTATCACGTTCTTTGCCTGGTTCGACGCAGCGACCATGTCGTCTACGAAAGACAGATCCTTGAACTTGACGTCCTCAACTTTGGTGCCGATGTGCTTCTCGACCATCGCTACAACCTCATCGCCCGTGATATCCTCCGGGCCGTTGAGGACATACCTGCGCTTGTTGTGCGCAGAGGTGTCTTCCTGGAGTAGGAGATGCGCAGCAAAGACACCAACGTCATGGGGATCGATAACGCCGACTGGTCCATCAGCGCTCGCCATCGTGCGCAATGTGTGTTGCTTTCCGCCGTTACGAACAGCCTTGATCAGCTCAGCAGCGGGCATAAGCCAGAAAGTGGTGAACACGTTTGGCTGCAGTGATGTCCAGTGCATACTTTGATATGCGGGTGAGTCCAGCATGGCTTCAATGGCCCAGTGCGTACGCGGGTAGTAGGCAGGGCAGTCTGGCTTCACATTCGCGGCTGTTGTGGAGATGCGCACAACGTACTTGACGCCAGCGTCACGGGCTGCAAGGTGGAATGTCGATTCCTCGGCGAATTGGTTGGGCTCGTTGTGTGAAGCTATGAATGCGCGGGCGACATTGTGTTCGCGTAGCCACTCCGCGGTCATCTCGACCCAGTTGTATTCGATAATTTCGACATGGGGGAATTTGGCGAGTGCTTTGGCCGAGGAGCTGTTTGCAGATCGTGTAATGGCGAGGATGCGATAATTGGAGAATGTCTTGCTGGATTTGATGAGGTTCGAAAGGGTCTCAACAACGCTGCGGCCAGTGTTGCCTGTGGCGCCGACGACTAGGAATGAAGAAGCCATGATCAGGAAGGTGCAAATAAAGATGATTGAGTTGGAGGGCGTTGTTTCAGTGCAGGCTGATGATGCATGTTAATCGATCGAGGTATCTTCCTTTTGTACAAAGTTGCGGAGTGTGGACGACTCCGGAGTGTCACTAGTCGCGGAGTGTAACCAGCTGTTGAGCGCTGCGCGTTACATCACGCACCCGGATTTTGTCCGAAGTCTGGCCAATCAGCTAAGCGCGGAGTGGAAGCCGTTAGCATGATGTGGCGGGCGCTAGAAGAAGATGCATACTTCTCGCGACGACCAGCCAACGCTGAAAAAAAGAAAACGCGGAAGCGGAACAAGCAGAACAGCAGCAATTGCGGGTTTGTTAGTTATTGAATGTTGGAACAAGCAGAAACCAAAATCGCATTAGTACTACTCCACGAGGAGATCGACGACTCCACATAACGTCCAACCCCCAATGACACTGCGCCATCTAATGCGCACTTATATAACATTACAAAAATACAAAGACCAGCTCAGTACCCATAGGCCACCGTATGTCCATGCACGTGGAAAGCGGTTGCTGCGCTGAACGACTTGATGTCTCCATGGAACCTTCCACCTACTCTGCCTCTTCCTCGTCGCTATAGTTCTCGTCAACCACAATCTGACGAGTAGCATGAGTTTCTTCAACGATCGTAGTCTGTTCGATCGCAGTCTGTTCGATTAGACGACCTTGAGCAGCCTCAGCTGCGGAGTCTTCGAGCGCGGCTGAGACCATCTGCTGTTCGGCGTCGTCACAGTCTTCCTGTCCCATCTCTTCGTCTTGCTCAGCATCGTCGTCTTCGAATATCACCGATGAAGAATCATCACCATCGTCATCATTGTAGGCGCCGGCCAGAACAAGAAGATCCTCTTCGTCCTCGTCAAGCGCGGGCTGCTCAGCATATGGGGGAAATACCTTGGTCTTCGACTTCTTAGCAGGCCGCTCTTGGTCTCCAGAGTCTTCCGAACCATGGCGCTTGCGAACCAGAGGGCTACCGAACGCATCTTCACTTTCCGATTCCTCCACGGCAGCCTGCGACTTCTTCTTGTTCAACGGCTTCTTCTTGGCTGGCTTCTTAGGCTTACCACCCTCGTCGTCGCCATCGTTGCCGTCGTGGGTGTTGTCGTACTCCTTTAGTAGAGCCTTGTCCGGCTTCCCAAAGGCGGCCACCAAGCGCCCCGACGCTTCGAGTGCCTTGGCTTCAGGCGAAGGGTCGCCGCGCCATCTTACATTCGGTGGGTCTTCGCCACGATCGTAGCATGGTTTGTACGATGTGTACTGGTAGCGAGTGCTCTCTACTGTCCGACCATCAGAGAGTTTCCCGAAAGGAGTGGCTTCCCTGAAGTCCTTGCCCTTGAAGCGATCGTTGTGAAGCTCAGTCAACTCCCAAATGGATGCGTCGGGATTGTCCCGCATGAGGGAAGCCAGATATTCTCGCTCGATTTCCGACCACGGTGGATCAATGGTCACGCGATCAATACCCTGGTAACGGCGGTCGTTAAGAGCCTTGACGGTTTGCTTGTCATTCCAGTCTTTTGGTACCTTGTTATAGCAGTAGATGACCGGCTCTCTCTTGTGGGATGTAAGTTCGTTCTTATCCTTCAACCGCATGTCCATGAGTGGGATGGCAAGTAAGTCTTCTTGGTTCTTATCCTGAGGGAGCTGATCAATGTTGTCCGGCTCAACCTGGAAATTGTGCTTTGTGTCGCGCGAACCGCGCTTGTACCGGAAGCCACGATTCTCCCACATGGGAGGCTCAGTCTGACCCATGCTCTCGCGGGCGGAAGGCTGTTTAGGACTGGGCCGAGGATCACCTGACACAGGCTTTGCACCCCAGAACTTGCTCCATTGGTCCTTCGGAGGAACGACTATACTGTGGGTGTAAGAATCGAAGCCTTCTCCGACGGGCGGCTTTTTTGGCTTGGCCTTTGGCTCCGTGGCGGCGGGTTCCTTAGGTGTTGCGGTCTTCCTGGGCTTCTTCGGGGTAGCGGCTTTTGCGCCCTTCCTGGGTTTCGGGGTAGGAGCGGCCTCTTCTGATTCTGACTCGTCCTCATCTGTGGGTCCTCCTTCCTGCTCTTCGATGGGCGCGGCAGCATCAGAGGCACTGGATTCGTCGTTCGCACTCGCAGACGCCGCTTCAAAACTAACAGCCTTCTTCGCTTTCCTCGGCGTTTTGGGAGTCACACTCTGCCCGAGCTTCGAATCGGCGGGCTGCTTTGACATGTCGGGATGAGGCAGTTGCGTATCGGTGTGTTGGGTCGAGCCAGGTGGTGGAGTAGTTGTATCGAAAGCACAGATAGGTTCCAAGAGCAATTGGATGGGGTCGCGTGTAGAGTCGTTGAGTCGAGTGGCAGAGGAGGGAGCGAAAACCTTGCTTTGCGGGGTGGGAATGGCGCAATGGTAGAGAGTTGACGCGCGTCTGGATTGGGAAGACATAATTGCAGTGGGAGACGGGGCGCAATAAGTAGGAGGACGGGGCGCGGCCATTGTAAGGCTACGCGTGAAAGGTCGTTCTGGGGCGTGAGGAGGGCGCTTTGACATCTAGATCGCACAGTGTAGAAATACATCTTGCGCGTTTGGTGTCCTTTGAAAGTGAACGAAAGTTGTGCGCGGATCAACAAAGCCAGCAACAGTGTAAGCAAGCCCACCCGACAATGTCCCAGGCGGACAAAGGTAAAAGGGTATGACAATTTCTCCTCGCGCGCGCTCAACTAGGTCCTTCTATCGACGTCTTTCGAATGATGTGGTCATCTCGGTCGCTTCCCTTCACTATGCGGATAGTGTCCACGTAATTTGCGAGCAAGAAACCTTCTCAGCCAAGTACATGTGACTGACCTAGAGTGCCTAACGCACAATGCCACATAGCGACGTGACCATGTGAAAGCTCATCGCTTGGCGGTGCCTCCGATACCGCATTGCTAAGGCAACGCGAGGGAATGGTCGCGCTCCGCTGTTGCACGAGGTGAATGCTGCGCACATCTCCCGCGATCTGGGGCTTTCGATGTACCACAACCAGTCGGTTCAGTTTCTCGTGAAGAGTATTGAAGCCGGGTAGTAGAGTCATTGTGTGGATCAATGAACTATATCGCAAAATCTTGGCTCGTGAATCCTGTGATCTCGCTTTCTGCTTCCTCGCGCAAGCGACCATGCTCGAACTTTACCCACGTCTCGCAGCGAAGCATTGAAGCGCGCTATCATACCTTTGGCTCAGAACTGACGTATTAATGGAGAGCTGGTAAGAAACGCAAATGGCCGTACGATAACGGAAGTGTATATGCTGCTGCCGTGCAGGACATGAGGTTGGGGGATGACAACTTGGTAAAAAGGTGAAACTTTGCATAACCACAGATTTTTAATCGTCTAATTCGTAGCAGCGCATGTAATTGAACCGCTTGGTCTACATGAGAAAGCTGTAGTCGACAAATGTGACCACAGAGACAGCTGTGGACAGGAAAGGGGACGGGACGTCGGGAAGTTTGCCAATCGATAAGATTGTCCTAGCGCCTTGGCATACGTAATGACAGCTAGCTCGCGATCACGACAGCTTCGAGCCTCAGCTAGTTCAATCACTTTGATGTTGAGGTGTATTAAAAGTCTTCACACTGATTTAGCATTTGTCGGGCTTTGCGTACATTGTGTTCAACACTATCCCATCGAACCTGACTATTACTAGACGCTCACGGCAATCGGCGGAGTTGCCTGATGTCGATGCGCTCACATAGCACGTCACGATCATCACGTCTTCATGGGCCGAAAGGCGCAATACGCTCGCTCGAGCAGCCGATCATAGCATTCGACCAGAACGGTAATCTATCTCGCATCGCGGAATCAAGAGTGAAGGGTGAAGTGATTGCGACGGCGTCCCAAGAGGTATCAGAAGATGCCGACTAGGTTGGAATTGAAATGGTAATTAGACATTATAACACTGAACACATCCAGTCAACAACCTATGCATCCTAAGCGGTGCGAACACTATTAGAAATCAACAGCTACCTCAAAGTTCTCAATCTCCACTTCACGCCATGTTGAGCTCTCCGAATGGCGTGGCGATTAGCCAGGCCCATGCTGGGCGCAAGAGTAGAGCGGGATGTATCAGGACCAGCCCGACACCCGACTATCACTCCTTGATAGCCAATAAGGAGATTGCCTGCACTGAAGCAGGTGTGTCAATCGTGACGAGACAGATCGACTGTGTCAACGTCATTGACCTTCCTCTCAACCAACCGCGCTTCCACGCGGGCCTCGGGTTCCCAACCCGCGATCGATATCGACACCGCGGGACAGCCGACTAGCGGCGGCGGCTGGCGGTTTCAATGGTCCATGTCATGACACGGGTCGCGGGTTGGCGGTAGCTCGGTGTGCAATCTGTGCATCTGCCTTTGAGTTGAGGCTTGCCGGGCTGAGCGCATTCATGATGCGATTTCGTATGGTTGATGCTGCCTGTCGATGCTTGTTCGATCCGGGAATGAGATTGTGGTGGCCATAGCGCATGGCTTTGAAGGGCGGCCCGGGTCGATGGGGACAGGACAGCGACTAGTGCGTGCGACTATGCGAACGCTTGTACCTGCATGACGATATCATGTTTTGTTTTCAGAGACTGGCGTCGCTCGCACGGCTGCTGCTGCGTTGGGAGAAGCTGGAGAACCGCCGGTACAATGTCCTCACTCTGCCGAATAGAGTGGAGTCGCTTGGTAGTCCATCGTCAGGGAATGGGGATGGTGAGGGGACTTCGGGTACAGCTCGCTCGCGATGTTGGAGGTGCTCTTCGTCCATGCGCAAAAGGTCCGCTTCGAACTGCTCCATCACAGTGAGGGCTGGCGCAAACTCGGGGCTCAAGAAGTTGTTGAGTGGTGGAGGGACGGCCTCCTGGCTCGCAGAGTAGTATAGCTGGGGCCTCATGTTGTCGAAGGAGTGAAGATGTCGAAGATGTTGAGGATGTTGATGCGATGTGTAGCTATGGAAGAGATGCTGGCCTACTTTCCAGAGGGTCGCGTCGCGTTTATATCACAGTATCGCATGTCGTCATGCTCTCTTCCCATCCCACACGCGCTAAGTCGCGTGGCAGCTCCAATATCGTACCTGAACCCCACGAGCCGTGCGCAGTTTCAATACAATAATAAAATAAGACGTTCCGGAACGATCGCATGTCATCTTTCCCGATCGCATGTTATCTTTCGATCTAGTGGTCACCAGCATCGTCATGGCCTTGTTCCAGACGGTACCCCTGAGACTTCCCGCTTTCCGGGGTCGATCGATCGTAGCGCGTCATCAGGGATGCTGCATCATCTGGCAAGATCCAGGTTTCACCCTAGCAGACAGCACCGTGCGCGATGTGCAAACATTGAAGATAGAAGTTGTCGGTGGCTTCTTCCATGCGCTCCTGAATCTCGTGAGAGATGTCTTGGTGTTGTAGGCTGGCATCGGCTCGCGCTTTCCGACAACACCCTGCCTACCTCGGCTCATCGGGCGAAGACGGCCAATGCGGTGACGCTCCTCACGAACACCTCGATGACCAGCCGTGAGCACCCTATCGTCATCGCAACGACACATAGAAATAATGCCCATCCCCACACCTTTCGGCGGTTTTCTGCCCGCTGCTCGAGATCCACCATCTGCATTTCTTGCAGCTTACATAGCAAATCCAGGCCTTAAGTAGACGATACTGCCCGGGATGCCCACCCCACCCTTCTCCCAAGACCGCCGAGACTGGCTGAGCGAAATTTCTGGACTGTTTTCCCAGCGCAAAACCAAGGACGTTAAAAGCACGACATCTACGTCAACTGTAAACCTTAGATTCGGCAACCCCAAAGCTTTCGACTCTGTTTCAACTTTCAGTTCAAGATCTCGCGATGACGCCTCCACAAAAGATCAAGCAATGGCTCACGGGCCAGGACGGGCTCGATAAGCTCAGGATGGGCGAGGCGGAATGCCCGGCCCCTGGCGAAGACGAGGTGTTGGTTGAAGTCCATTCCGTGAGTCTGAACTACAGGGATACCGAAGGTACGTACAGTGGGATGTGGTCACACCTACTTTTGTGGCAGGGTCCAGACTGCCATTTGAACAACGCTAAATACGTGGACAGTCGCCATGGGCCTCTACAACCACCACAAGTCCGTAGAGCATCCCCCCGCTATTGTCCCATGTAGCGACATGTGCGGTGTAGTTGTTGCGGTTGGTCCAGTCTCCAACAACACTTCAGACCCCTACAAGAACCCAGCTTTCCAGCTCAAGGAAGGCGACCGGGTCATCAGTACATTTGCGCCGAAACATCTCAGCGGCCAAATCAAGGCCTCAGACATTGCAGGTGGCTTGGGCGGACCTGCGCCTGGAGTGTTGACGCAATACCGTGTCTTCCCCACGTATGGCGTTGTCAAGATACCAGATTATCTATCCGATGACGAAGCGGCTTGCTTGCCAATCGCAGCTGTAACCGCGTGGATGAGCTTGAATTGTATGCGACCAAATGGCGAGATCATCGGACCGGGCGAAAAGATCCTGTGCCAGGGTACTGGCGGTGTAAGCATCTCTGCAGCCCAGATCGCATCCGCAGCAGGCGCAGATGCTATCATCACATCTTCCTCCGACGAGAAGCTCCAGCGCGCATCCAAGCTTGGCGCGAAGACAACCATCAACTACCGCAACACTCCAGACTGGGAGAACGCAGTCCTTTCTGCTACCTCCGACGAGGGCGCTGACATCATCATCGAAGTCGGTGGCGCGCAGACACTTCGCAAGTCGTTCGAATGTGTACGCTTCGGCGGATTGATCTCTTGCATTGGCTACCTATCTGGCAAGCAAGATGAGGCTGGCGACAGGACAAACACGAACTTGCTGTGCCTGAAGAGGAATGTTACACTCAAGGGCATTGTGAACGGCCCTAGGACTGAACTTGAAAGAATGCTCAAGTTCTACGACGAGAAGAAGATTAAGCCAGTGGTCGACCGTGTTTGGAAGTTTGAAGAGGCTGATCAAGCGATCAAGTATCTGTTCAGCGGAGGTCACTTTGGAAAGGTAGTCATCAAGGTGAAGGAGTAGATGATGTTATTGGTGCGTTGTGAGTAAGAATATATTATAATTCAACACTTGCTATTCGCTACCTCGTGATGGACTAAGCGGAAGACCGAGCGCGCCGCTCAGCATCAACACTCGCACCCCACTTACGAAAAGCCCTAGTAAAGCGTTCAGTCTCCTCGACAGCCTCCTCGTACTCGTCAGCAACGACAAGCCCCTCATACCACGACCGCTCCGTCTCGGCCAGCACAAGACGCCACTCCTTCCCCTCCGCCAGCGCCCAAGCCAGACCGTGAACACCCAGGCGAAGCAACCATAAAGCAGCAGAGATCTTAAACCCCCACAGCTCGCAGTTCTCTCGGTCCGCCGTAGGCCAGTTCTCTTCGTGGTCCATTACAGCTTCAATGACACTGTAGAGACCTTCCTGGAAATGAAAGGGGAGGCGGTGCAGACAGTGCATGATGTTGCTTATATTGTCTTGGAAAGGCTTGCTCTCGTTGGACCATTCCCAGGCGCAGTTGGCGAGAGTCTCGAGCCCGGCGATCAGTGATAGGCAGGCGTCGCACTTAAATGTGCTGTTACAAGTCTGACGGCAGTCGGACGGGCGGAGGTGGTACCGGCAGGTCTCGACGGCGGTGACGTGCTTTTCGCCCTGTATCATGTCAGTTGGAAGGCTTGAACGTCCAAAGAGAGTAGTGCTAACCTTCTCGAAGAGACTATCCTCAGTGCGGGTGATCTTGATGATCTCGGTCCAGACATCTTTCGCAGCCGTAGAGGATGGTGCGGATGCCTCTGGGTAGTCGCCAGGGGATACGAGGACGAAGTCGTCCGTGTCTTCAACGTCGTCGACGAGATTCATAGGGCCCTTGCTACTGATGCTACCAGCAGTCTCTGGAATGTTGGAAGCAGGCATATTCGTCGCGATTGTGGATTAGTTGGTACTATGCTTTATAAAGAAGTTGTGGTGCGTTTCGAATCAAGGCGCGGAGCTGTGGGTCTGACGTGTTATATAGCACAAGAGGAGGAGCATACAGCTATGGAATTCCATTAAACAAGTGGGTCTGGAATAGGTCCGTGGACTTGGGGCTTTCTTCCAGAAGGAGAAGAGTGTGGTGAATGTCTGCATCGCACTCTCTCGCAATGTGCAGATAACCAGATCAGGCACTCATCTGTACGGCCATTCAGGGCACAGCGGAATAACGCCATCAAGCGTACTCGAAGAATATATGGTGGGGGATATCCTTGTTGGCTACAAGCTATAGCAACTATTTGTACGCAAGCTGACTTCCAAACCAAGGTAAAACTCGATCCTACACGCCTCCTCGGCTGAGGCAAACATCAAGCCCGGAGACCAAACATGACCAGTGCCAAGAAGCACATATTTGCCCTGGCCTTGAAGTCCCATCGACCCTTCAGTCGTCGTCTTCAGTTCGACCCTTCTTAGCAAACATCCCAGCCGCGCCCCTCCCCCACATCGTCACCTCCGCAGCAACCCGCCTCAACTCCATCTTCTTCTCTTCATACTCTACTTTACCCTCATTCACCACAATCCACGCCTCCTCCGCCCCCAACAAAATCTGCATCTCGCTTTTCCCCTCCACCCTCCCCAGCATTAGCCCCTCAGGCCCAAGCTTCAGCGCCCAAATGACCACCGAGATCTCGAACTCCTCGTCCCTAACAACCTCACGCTCGAGATTCATCCAGTCGTCTGTATCGAGTATGATGGAAAGAACGATGGAGAGACTGAGTTGGTGTTGCGGCGCTAGCATGTGCAAGTATTCTGCGACGAAAGAAGGCTTAGTAGGATTATCGGAGAAGATCTCGGAGCAGATGCGAAGGGTGTCGAGGCCGTCGATGATTGCATTCGATGTCAGGCTTGGATGGGGTTTGGATTTGGTTTCTATGGCGAGGATTTTGGCGTAGTAGGCAATGATGTCTTGTGCGCTTTTGTCCTGCGCGGAAGCGTTAGTATGCATGATTGAGATTTGAAGGGGGCTTGTATGCTTACTTCGATGGTTTTAGCAGTCTCGTCACGAACGAACACGTAGCTGCCATCAGGGTGCCTCGGCAGTGTATCATTGGATAGGGCTACGACTTTCTTTCCGTCGACGAGCTGGGTGAAGTCTTCTTGACTGTTATCGTCGTTCATGTGAGGTTTTCCTGGGCGCGGCATGATGGTCACCCTCGTGATGAGACGTCTGTAAAGTCTGTATGTATCAGCAGGGTTGAGTTACTACAGGGGGTAGAGAGTCCAGTGTTCTTCCTAGGCCGGCCATCGCTTTGGTATATGGCAGGAAGTAGGTCAGTGCATGGGGCGCAATTCAATGCCAAGATGATGCGATATACAGTATATTATTGAGCTTTCTCTCCCGTGAACTACCCTTTTGAACCATGACGTTAGGTTGTGCCTCCGTCCGGGCTCGCCACTTTAGGGAGCCGGCGAAAAACAATACATGATAGCCTACGCCAGACTCAGTCCTCCCGCTCCTCCTGAATTCGGTTATCTGCTATTCGTCTCGCATGCCGGGCTTTCTCCGCCACGATTCTTTGCTCAATCTTGCAAAATCGATCCCGTAGATCGAGCGTAGGAACAGTGACAACACAGTCTGTCCTCATCAGCAACTTGATGCCCGGTTATCGAATTTTGACTTACCTTCACGACGTCTGGCAGATCTTCTGCGTCGTTCTTGCCACTACTTCCTTCACCATTGGAAGTCTCTTTCTTCGTCGGTTCCTTGTCAAATCCCTTCCTGACACCACCATTCTGCGCTTCCAACTTGTCAGCGTCACTCTTGGAGTGTGCATCTTCTTCTTCTTCACGCTCTGGGAGCTCACAGCTCGAACTCGAGCCTTCGGCGACAGAAGATGCGACATCGCTGTAGGAATGGTAGTCGGCTTCTACGAACACCCAGCTGTCTTCCATTTCTTGATCTTCGGCGATCTCTTCGTCTACGGTGACGTCGTTGTCGGCGTTGAGTAAGCTTCTAAACGTGTCTTCACTGGGCTTGGTGATGGTGCTCTCTTCAGCACTGTTGTCGTTGTTGGCGGGAGGATGCTCCATTGAAGACATGTCTCAAACTATACGTTGGAGGATGGTGTGACACGTTAGAGAGAGAATTGCGTAGTCTTGTGTGACTGCGAGTTGGGTGACTGCGCTGCTGTTGAGTGGCAGTGTGAGCACTTCCATACTAGAGTGGCTGCGTATATATGCGCCTTGAGAGTTCTATACGGGATCGCGCCACTAAGGCGACATTCAATCCTCTTTCACTCATGTCAATAAGAAAGGCTGCGAACCGAATGAAAGCGACCCAAGCTTCATTATATCAACATTCCACCAGCAGTTGCTTGTTCTTCGAAGGCAAATGGAGCGCGAGTGAAGCAAGCGGGCGGTCGAGACATGGTAAATATGGCGAGCCACTCACGATCATCGCATCGCCAGTGAGACCAGGATAATACGACCCTCGTATGAATGAGAGAGACCAAGAGACGAAGGATTCAATCGTTATCATTAATGATGGCGAATGCACAAGATCATATAGCGTGGTGCACGAGGCCTCGGTCGTTCGCGACGTATGATGCTGAAAAACTTGATTGCAATTCTTCTTAACGATCATAACTTTGATGCTGCGCCCTCATCATATTCACTCAACTCTTTCTTATCGCAATCTCTGGGGCTTTCACCAAACTCTTTACCCTTGCGACATGACAGTTCTTCGGCGCTTTTCCACTTCCAGGCCGTATCTTTCTCTTCGCCGTTGCCCTTGCCGCTTAGTACGTTGCACATGTATGCGCCGGCGACGGGGAGGAATCTGAGGGGATGATTAGCATTGCGTGCGTGAAACGAAAGGTAAAGTTACTTACTTGTACGAGTGAAAGCTACCGCCAACGGCGAGGTACAAGTTGGCGAGCTTTTCATGTGGATGTCGACACATTAGCCAGTCTTCAGTTGGTGTAACGGCGTCGTAGCAAATTCGCCATCGATCTGGTCGTTTGCTGCGTGTCCAATCCGGCATGGCGTTATGCATGATCTGTGCGCTCTCACGCTTCAGCCTCTCAGGGACGTCATTCTGGTTCCTTCGAGATGGCATAGTGATTTTGTGGCCAGAAGGGGTGGTAACCGTGTTGATGACTTCAGTCTTGATGTCATTAATTTTCAGCGTCCGATTTGGTTGCGAGGGTGGGATAATGTCGACCTCTCCACCAATGACGATCACAGGAACTGTTTCGTCAATCATGCTCTGGGTGTCTTGTTCGTTCAACGTATAGTAAGCAGACACCCGTCCTACAGCGGTGATCTGGCGCTCGATGCGGTCTTGTTCCTGTATCTTCAAAGCATCCTCGATCGGCGACATCAGAGAGCTGGTCCATGCTCCTGCTGCCAACACGACCTTGTCGGCTTTCAAAACTTGACCATCTCTCAGCTTTACACCCGCTAGCCTACGTTGGTCGGCGCTCAGTAATAACTCCTGCACGTCTCCAGTGACCCTCTTGACGCCCAGCTCCAGTGCAACTTTCGTGAAGCTTTGCGTTGCTTTTTCTGCGTCGCACCAACCCGCTTCGCGATTGAAGTAGCCCTTTCCATATTCTTCGCTCTTGATGCCCTTTGTTACCGCGTACTTGTCCAGCTCTTGTGGTTCTAGATCGCGCGTGTAGTCACCCCCTCTCTCAACGAATGTCTTCCTTATCGCATCACCAAAAGTACCATCTTTTTTGTCTAGCACGACCCAGCCAGTCTTGTGGAAATGACCCTGCACTGCTATACTCCAGAACCAAAAATGAATGGCTTCGTTGGCGAGATTGCAGTAAAGATGTGAGTCGTAGTCGGTACGAATAATGCGATTGGTGTCGATGGCTGCCGCTTGCTTTTGCTTTAGGGATGTATTGCTATCCCAACGGTCGACGATAGTAATCCGCGATGGATCTTTGTATTGTTTGCCCAAATGATAGGCAGTAGACGCGCCAAAGGTACCAGCGCCTATGATAAGTACTGTAGGCTCACTGCTTGCCATATTGAACGAATAGTGATCAAACGTCGTAAAGCTCTCAATGATGTCCAGGATAATGGTGAGGCTTCCTGGATGGTAGATGAGACTGCTTGCGCTAGCGCTGCGGGGTCTTTTGCGGATCCGATGCCCCCAGCTTGCCCGAAAACGTGCATTGGCTCGCGCGATCGGGAAGGAACTCACGATGCCCAGGTACAACGCGTTCCGAACATGACGTATCAACACAAAAGCGGGCGCGTGCGAATGAGCCCTATTCTGTTCAAAGTTGCGCTGCTTTGACAAGTGACATTCTGGAGCCCCGGTTGGGCTTTGGCAATGATCGCAGTCGATGCGGGATGCGCGAAGCTTGCTTGGAGACCGGCGTTCGCGTCGCGACGTCGCGAGTATTCAGTGTCGCGGCAGGTGCAAGGACGACCGTCGCTAACAAGGTTTACGCGTTGCACTTGAATGTCACATCAATTGCATCGCCTCGAGAATGCAATTTAGTGGTTGAGACCATCTTAAAGAGTACGTCGCGATGGCGTAGAGGCATGGTGGCACATCGGTCGTGGAAAGTCGCTAACTAAAGCTCGAGTGTCATCGCTCCTTCCGAATAATACAGCTCACTTCCAACACTCAAAACCATACATCACGCGCGTGCTTGTCAATAGTAGCGGCGCACATTCGCGCATACCAATGGCAGCAGTTCAACACGAACGGATTTGTTCTCTACATGTTCGACCCATTTGCTGCGGCAGTTTTATTTGATCGTGCTCCACGCTCTCCAACCAGTCTCTTACAGGTATGGGCATCACTCACTCATCAATAGGTATTCATGACTCCCAAAAAGTCACTTCCAGTAATACGCATGCGCTGCGATAACACGATAAGAGAGAAAGAGCTGGTGATGGCAAGAGACATGGAGTAAGCCAGGGGCTGACCGCAGAGCTGGACTAGCCGGTTGCATCATCGGCAACGTGTCGAAGATGTCAAACGTTTAGCCTGGAGGCCTTACTCGGTTTCAGTTCTGGATATTCACTACCGACGAAGGATTCACGGTCCTACACCTGTTCTTCCAATGTAGAGGCTGCTTGCGAGATGCATTTCCTGGAATGGTTAGCGCTGGCTGTCTCGGCTAACCTTCCGAGTCAGACTCGAAGTATCTTTGGATACAAGTACGAACACAGCGCAGAGCTGTTACGCAGCAGAAGGCAAGATCTCAATTCAATATCACTGCTGGAACTGAACACAGAAACATGTGAGGAGCTCTATTAAGACCAAGTTTTCACGCATCAATCTCAGATTCGCCACTGCACGATAGCACTTTAGTGGCTCCTTCGGCAAGCCCCACCATCGAGCGTAGAATGAAGACTCAGCAACTCTCAACCAACACCACGATGTCTCCCAAGGTTCATATCGTACGCCATGCGCAGGGAGAACACAACGCGACCGTATGTCCCAGATTGAGAAGAAGAACCTCGAAATTAATAGTACTGACTGGCGGCAGCGCAATTACAGCATTCGCGACGCTGTGCTGACGGAAAAAGGCAAAGAGCAATGTCGCGCGCTTAGCTCGGCATTTCGACATCATGAGGAAATAGACATAGTATTTGCGTCGCCGCTACGACGAACGATCCAGACCGCGTCACTGAGTTTTGGCCCCGTGCTCGCGCGGAAAGAGGTGCCGTTCGTGCTGTTGCCAGCCTTGCAAGAGGTCAGCAATATTGGATGTGATGTCGGAATTGCAGATACTGCAGATGATGTGCACGCATTCCTACCGAACCTATTCGCAGAGGGGGAGCTTGACTTTGACATCAGCAAAGTTGATGCATCAGCGGTGACAGCGGGCTGGAACTCCAAGGTTAGTCGATCTCCCGGTTTGACATCAGCATGCATGCTTACTAACGCCTCGCAGGAAGACTATTGGGCGTACGAGAAGCGCGCCATCTCGAAGCGCGCTTCTGATCTCAGGAACTGGCTGTACCAAAGGCCCGAAGCGCAGGTAAAGCTGCCGTTAGTTTCCTCTTAACAGCGGTTTGCTAATGGAACAGGTCCTGGTCGTCACTCATGGCGCATTTGCACACTTCCTCACCGAGGACTGGGAAGTCGAAGACCCCATGGTGGGCACAGCGTGGAAGAATTGTCGGTATATCTCTATATTTAGTCTGCAGCATGGGCTAACTCTACTATAGGTGAACATCGCGTGTTTACCTTTACACCTGAGTCGACAGCGGAAGACGCCCACGTGGGAGAGACTTGGGAGAGCAGGCGAAGCAGAGGTGCCCAAGAGGTCGAGAAGGACCCGCATGTAGTGGATGAGTTTCTCAAGACGGCGGCGTAGTTGAGTAGTAGTGTACATAGTCCGCGGCCTCAGGTAGCTTCCGACAACGGCTGTGGCATGCCGTTCCGTCCGTTGTCCAAGAGCCGGAGGGTCCACGAATAGCCAATACCCGATGTGTTTCTGTAGTAACTTGCCCGAGTACATTTGCGCCCTTTGATCGACGGATTCTCCCTTCGCTCCTAATCTGGAGTACCACGGCTGTTCGGCAAGCGCGCCATGATGGCGCAACATCCCACGGTGCCCGGTGCCCCCTGAGGCTTTTGGGATCCTGGGGTAGACGGTAGCCATGTCCAAGCAATCACATTCACCCCCCATATCATTGGGCGGCGCAAAGTTCGGCAATGCACTCCACAAAACCCTGGATCAAAGATAAGCCACGGTCACGCCGCGCCTGCTATGACCCTTCGAGCAGCCAAGCTGCAGTGCGGCCAGACCAAATCACCGAGCGGTGCGTCGTGCATTACCGCGCTGGGTGTAGTTGACGGGACGCATCGGAGCAGCCTTAGTCAGAGTTTTGCGCCCCGGTACCTGTTCGGTTAATCTATCAAGCCCCGCCGAGGCCCGGGATGGCGCGGCCCTAAAGGCTTGTCGCCGCCCCCATGCAGCCAAACCAGCCCTACGCGACGCCTCTGTCGTCGTCACCATCCAGTGCAGACGCTTATCCCCAGCTTACAGGTTGTCGCGTGAGCACCGCAGCTCTCTTATCTCCAGAACCGCATGCATGGTTCGCTCTGATGT